GGATAGAAGACACTACTCATGGGGGCACAGTCCATTGATGACTCGGATGAGTCACACGATGGAATTTGTGAAGAGCTGGCGCTATATCGAGTCTAGTTTGTCGCATCTCCGACACCGAGGCACAGGCTTCTAAAGTAAACTTGCGTGATATTCTTCTTATGAGTGATTTTATCGAAGCATTTCTCCACAAGCAAGGCAGGAGTGCCACTAGCACGCCGGGGGTCACAGAGAGTCAACAGAAAATAGCGGTTGACATTGCATTTAACTTTTTGAAGATAGTAGTTAGCATGAGAGCAAATAAGAGGAAGGGAGTTCCACAGTCGAGAAGTGTGAGAAGAGACACCGTTGGAGTAGAAGTGGCGGTTATATTGAACTATTTCAGCAGTAAAAAAGTGGGACCTAGATGCCAATCTAGTAGCGCGCTTAAATTCATGCAGTCGGGGCACCATGGAAAAATGAGTTGCCATGAAAATATTTGTAGAAAAGACAGAGGGAAGCCTCATCACGCCTGCGAAAAAATGTCTGAAATCGAGATGCCAGGTCAGGGTCGATTACGTTGCAGATGCTTCTTTGGATTTTGTCGAGAACCGAGATGAAGAGCTGGGGCAACAGACCAGTTATGGTAAGAGTATTCAGTGCATGGAGGAATGATAGATTTGTAGATGTGTAAGATGGACTCTGATGAGAAAACCCTTCTGGCACGACACAGAAAACCAACTTTCCTTGCAGTAGATGCAGCTATTGATTTAATGTAGTTATTCCACTTGAACTCAGTCGAAAACGTGGCAGAGTTAGACACTCTCCCGGAGTCGAACATCAACGATGCTGATGTTGGACAGGGAAGTTTCTAGGCGGTGGTCAAATGAGTGCAGTTTAATTTTGGAGGCATTAAAATTTACAAGCCATTTCCTACCCCAGTTAACCACTGATTGGAGATTCTTTCAAGAGCAGCAGCCAGGTTAACTTTGTCAGTCCTGATGGATTTGCTATTGAGACAGGAGTAAATGGTAGTGTTGTCAGTATAAATACCTACTTGGGAACTGATGACACCAGGAAGATCATTGATGAAGATAAGAAACAACGTAGGACCTAGAGTACAGCCTTGATGGTTGTCAACTGCAACGATTGCCGTAAATTACGACCTTAATTTTGACTGGGTAGATATAAGGAAAGGACTGCAGCTATTTTGGCTGACTTCAAAGAAGGTTATGATTTAGAGACGCTTGAGACTATGCCGTAAAGTTATTTCAAAATTTCCTGTCAAAAATCGACTTTCAACATCGAACAAGTCAATCATTGAAGATTATTTGAAAACGATTAAAACTTTTACTCATATAAATTAACAGTAATTGTCTCTTCGAGTTACGTCATTTCGGATAAATGAGGAAACACTGTTTTTTTTTTAAGCGAACTTTTGAAAAGTGGGATTGGTTATTTCTTATCTTGTACCAGTTAATGTCTTCCTCGTGATACTCTTTTTTTGTCTTTTCAAATAAAGAAGATGATATAACCCTTCCTGCCTGGCAGCAGGATTGAACTCACGAATGTCAAATAACTATAAAGCTTTTTACCCTTTAAGATAATAGAATTTTTGGAGCCTTAACACTGCTTTCTGTTCTTTTTTGTATCAAAGCCTGTTATATGAGCGGTTTGACCTACAGACGTTCATTTTATTTTATTTTATATTTTATAAAGAAAAACGTATTCGCCGGTTATTTTTCAGGGGTTGATAGCGTTTTTTGATCTCTAAACTAGAGAATTACTTGAAAGACAGCAAATTTTGTTCCGTAATTTCTTTTGAAAAGGAGGAAGATACGGCACTTGGTAAAGGCCAAAACCTAGGAGAAGGCCTTTCTAAAAGCTGGTCCCTGTAGACTCCAGTGTCGTTCCATGACGTAATTACGATAATGATATAAACCCGATTATATTTCTAAAATGAAACAAAGTGAATTAAGGAAAAGACAAAAGAAATGTTATCGCACTGAATACCTGGAAAATACAGAAGATTGTGAAAGTCTATTAATAAAATTAAGAGAAGAATCCGTTGGCTTTCAAAAAATAACTTAAATTTAGTCTATAAACCTATTAGAGGTTAAACAATGTTATAACAAAAGAACAGTAAGTATTACACAATGTATTATGATTAGCGTTGGATCTAAGTGATATTTGTGTTTTGTTTTACTTTACCTAATTCACGTTTTGTGTCGGTATCACGGCTAAGAGAATACTTTGGTGTTTCCTACAACGATGACAATGACGATGGCGTAAGCCAGTTACGATTATCTATCAATGCAAGAGAAGTTTTTTTTTCTTTTTTCCAATGTAGCGTTATCAACGGTGCCATTAAGAAGACTATGGTAAATCTTTTATGCCTGGAGATGTGCTGAGACTATCTCAGGTTCCATCTGAACTTGAGATGCTGACTGCTCATTGGAAAGGAATCTGGGAGATACAAGTAGTTAGCAAAAGAATAATGGCAACACCGTTTGGTAAAGATCATATTACTGCATAAAACTCAAATTAACGTTAAGTGCCTAATAGAACTTAATTAGTTCCACCAATTCGGAAACATTATATCTAGAACTCGACGTGCTACATCCACAGAGTCGGATCAGCCACATTTCCCCTGTATTCTTATTGTAAAGAGAAAGTTTCAGTCCGACAGCTTAACCCCCCCCACCGCCCCGAGAACTGCTATTTTGTGCAACAAACGCCAATATAAACGCTTTCTTGAACAGTGCAATCTTTACTTCTTTAAGTCAAGTGTCAAACTCTATTTTTGTCTTCATTTCTTTTGACCTCCTCTTACACACATATCCCGCACTTCATTTATTAATCCCCTAGCATGTAGATCTTGAACCTTGCATTGGATGAACTTTAGTAAAAAAAGGGGGGGAATTTGTGCGATGTTTATTTTATTTTTGTAGGCATTTTCTGATAACTACAAGTTTATTAAAACCATCACAATTCTTGACTTTTTTTTTTCGCGACCTCCTTTTCTCGAAGCGTCTTTTTTATTGCACATCAAGAAAAAATCGAACCCCTGAATACTTTAGATCTTTTTATATTAAACACTTAAGACTTGTCAATTATATATTAAAGTTTTGCGTGTATAACTGTATGCTAGTGGCGTATACGCCCGTCAACCTGTTACTCATAAATGAACACGTTCAGATCAAATAACTTTTTTTTTAATTGATGATAAGGGTAGAATAAAGATTCATTTATTTTATATAGGTATCTTGAGTATTAAGGACCTAGTTCAAGTTCTAAGCTAGGTTGTCATGTTCCCTTTCTTTGTTTTTTAAGCGTTTCACCCCAAGCAAAGCGGGAAGCCACTAGCACGCAAGGGGTTACAGAGTTGGAGCGAGAACAAAGAGGAGTGATAGAGGAAAAGATGAAGAGAAGGATAGGGGATAGATCAGGGCATCTGGAGACGTCGAGTGGCGTTACATTTGAATAGTTGGAGATTATAGCCATCAGGGAAACAGGAAAAGGGGAGGGAGTTCCACAGGCGAGAAGTGCGAGACATAAAGCTATTAGAGTAGAAGGGACGGCTACATTTAACAGTTTTGACATTGAAAGGGTGAGAGCGAGATGCCAGCCTAGTTGAACGCTTAAATTCATGAAGTCTGGGAGCCAGCGAAAGCAGCTCATCGTAAGACAAAAAAAAGACAGAGGGAGGCGATGGCACGTCTGTGATAGAGCGACTGCAGACAAGATGCCAGATCAGGGCCAATTACATTGCATATCCGCCTCTGGATTTTATCAAGGACCTTGAGACAAACAGAAGGGGCTCCAGACCATATATGGCAGCAATACTCCATGCAAGGGTGAATGGTTGATTTGTAGAGTTGAAGGATCGACTCCGGCGAGAAACATTTCTTGGCGTGGCACAGGGAGCCAACTTTCCTTGCGGTGGACGAAGCTATTGACTCAATGTATTTGTTCCATCTCAGGTCAGCAGACAATGTGAGACCGAGCAGTCGCAAAGAGATGCTCTCGTGGAGTTGAGCGTCAGACATTCTAATGGTGGGAGGCAGGGATGTTTCTCTGTGTTGAGTAATAAAGAGCAATTTTTTTTTTTGAGGCATTAAAGTTAACCAGCCAATTCCTACCCCAGTCCACAACCGATTGGAAGTACTTTTCGGGACAAACGGATATTTCTAAAATTTTTTAAATGAATTCGTTCCAAGTGAGATGACAACGCCATTAAGACGCAGGGTAGGTGGGGGATACTGGGCGTGAAAGAGAATGAAAATACTTTAGATGGAATCGGAAATCCAATCAGAAACACGGAAAAAAATAACCCCCGCTAAAGGTTGATTACAAGGTAGACTTAGATCTCTAACCTTGGATTGTAAGCTAAGTGGAAAACACATAACTCTTAATTAGTAACAATAAAATTACTTTCCAAACACCCAAATATTATATTCAGTCTATGTACATTGTGTCAAATTTTAGGGTCCCAGCTATGGGGTAAATAGTTATCCTCTCAAACTGGTATAGTAAAAATACCAGCAATACAGCTTTGGAAAAAATATTACTGCTGATATATTTGACTCTCGACAAAAATACGTTACTGGAAACCTCATATCCTACAAACTAATTTCTTACAAAGAATAAATAATCTTTTCATACGAAATTATCCTAAAAATCTTGTAGGCATTAAATAACCCACTGAAGTTGATGTACAGTAAAACAAAATATACTAAAACCAGACTGAATCTGTCCCAGATACCAGTCCGCTGGATTTGGATTAAATAACTGTAAACAAACTCCCTTCAACTCACCAAAAGTGTTGAATCACTGGCCGTTCTGGGTAGGATGATAAACGATATCTGCGCGCTGGGCAAGACAATAAAGAAATTTTGAGGAGCACGGAACCACCTCTTAATTGCTGGTGTTCCCAGGTCCACTCTGACTCGGGTTAGTAACTCTGTTAGGGTCCCAGCTATGGGAAAATAGTTAACGCCAAAACTGGGGTTAAAACAATATGAAATTGTAAAAATAGGTTTTAGTACTAGAAATACTTTTTTGTAAAAATTTAACAGCAATACATTATTACCACCAATACGTTTTTGAAAAAAAAAAGAAAATTACCAGCTATAATCAACCGATCTCCACACTTTAATCCACGAGGGGGGGTACAGCCACAAAAGGTTGTTCCCTTTGACTGGGCACCGGTCAATGAAATTTTCAGTTGCGCTTTCTCATCAGGCAGAGACACAATTGAAAGATAAAATGTAGTTTTTCCCGCCCAAAGACAGATACTACATTTTGATACCAGTAAATATGGAAGGATGTCTGACATTTAAACCACATTTTTTTCACATTTTAGATTCGTCAAATTTCATCATCGGTGAACATTTTTTTCCTCTTTTCGACCAAGAAGAGAAATGAGAAATATTCATCTTGGAAAATTCATGTCGAACCCCTGCGACCGAACTTTTGCATAGATTTGTAAACAAGGTACAATAGCTGATCAAAGGCACTTTTAAGATATACTTAACATTATACAAAAATGACAATCATTAATTTTCCTAATAAAAATATGAAATAATTATACATATAATTTATAGGGTTCAATTTTTCAGTGAGTCTGTCCTGATCCCTTTTGTGAGGGCAAAGGCATGAACTCACCTTCCACCAGCTACGGGTCCAACAACAAGACTGGGCTTTCTTGATTTGCGTGGCTTCCAGGCTAGAACAAGGGCAGAACTAAACCAAAGGCATGAACTCATTTTCCGCCAGCTATGCATCCAACATCAAGACTGGGCTCTCTTGCTTTATATGGTTTATAGAATACAAGAAAAGTATAACTAAATCAAAGGCATGAACCCATCTTCCGCACTGTACGGGTCCAACAACATGACTTGGCTATCTTGCTTTAGATGGCTTCTAGATTACAAGAAGGACAGAACTAAATTAAAGGCATGAACCCACCTTCAGCCAGCTACGTGTCCCACAACAAGACTTGGCTCTCTTGCATTGGGTGACTTTCAGGTTAGAAGAAGGGCAGAACTAAAATAAAGGCATTGTAAACCACATTGTAAAGCATCACGGACACAAATCCCATAACACATTAGGTCCATAACAGGATTACATGTACTGCTGTCGTAGTTGGTAGTCTCCAAGGACAGCATAGCCTAACGGAGTGAACCTCTCTTCAAATTGGTTTGAATTCAAAGTTGTCTATCGTCTTGACTTGTTGCCGTGCGAAAACTACAAAGGCCATTCTGCGCGATGCTGCCCTTGGAGACTACCAACTACGACAGCAGTACATGTAATCCTGTTATGGACCTAATGTGTTATGGGATTTGTGTCCGTGATGCAATCCGTGAAAGAATTTTATGAACATCTTGAAGAAATTAGACTTGTTTTTTTATCTTTTAACTTCTTATCTTTCAAAGAAATGTGCAACTGTTAAATATCAAAATTATCGTTAATGTCCCGGTGCTAGATTTTAACAATTGTAACATTTGTGAACCTGTACATTTAATATGCACAAATAAACGTCCTATCTTTGTTTTATTTATCACTAGCCTAGAAGACGCACTTCGAGCGGGCTTTAGGCTACCTCCTGCGGAGTGGGGGGGTTGTGCTTTCGGTCTTTAACCTTCAGCGTCCTATGTATGCAAAAGTTTTAAGAATTTAGAAATAATAAAATTATTTTATCTTTATTCGACACCTTAATTCGGCATAATCTTTCTTCGTATACGCAACCGATCTCCATAGTTGGTTTACATTTATTTTGCTCGCCAAAAGAAAAAAAAATCACTATTCTTTATGATCCCTTAATAAAAAGTCACGCTTAAAAGACATTAGAGAATATTTTGAATACGTCAGAGTAGGCGTGCTAGAAAAAACACATGCGCCACGTATCGCGCATTTTAAAAAAATATTTTCTGACTTTAAATAACCTGCGTATGGTTGCTAACCCGTAAAAAAACGAAACAATCAATTCTCTTTTTATGTCCATAAAACAACCTCATTCATTAACCCTTTACCTTGAGTGACTCTTGGGCTTTGAATTGGGGCAACAGTAGTATAAAATGTACCCACATATTCACAAATATGTATAAATAATTGATTTTTTTTGCTTATCAGTTATATTTTTCCAAAAATATAGTACATTTATATTTTATTCAATTACTAACATGGAAGCCGGCCTTAAGTGAGGTTATAAGAATTTTTATTTTATTTTTATTCTTATAAAAGTTATAAGAATTTAGAAATAGTAGATTTATTTCATCTTTATTATCTTTATTCGACACCTCAATTCGGCATAATCTTTCTTCGTATACGCAACCGGAGTTTGTTTGCATCTATTTTTTTTAATTATTTTCTTTTAAAATCACCATTCTTTATGTTTCCTTTACATAAAGTTACTCTTAAAAGACATTGGGTAATATATAAATGCGTGTGTGTGTGTATGAGTGTGTGTGTCTGTCTCTCTCTCTCTCTCTCTCTTTCTCTCTCTCTCTCTGTGTAATATTT